AAAGCATAGAGCTACATGCTATAAGAACATAAGCATAGTATAGAAAACTTGCTAACAAGTAAAAAACTATACTTGCGATAAATAGATAAAAAAGAAAACAAAACAAAAAAACAAAATAAAAGAAATGAAATTTTTTTTTGATGTAAAAAGAAAAAAAATCTAAATTGTTGTATCTGGTGATCTTAATGTAGTGATTAGATTGTCAGACTGCTATGCAAGAGATCTAAGGTTCAAATCTCACTGTTGATGAATTTGAATAATTACTCAAACCTTTGTACTCAACTTACAGTAAACCCTATCAGTTTCTGGAGTTGTAATCCTGTAAATCACATTGCACTAATATCATCTAGATATTAGAAGTATAATGAGGTATTTGGCAAGACATAACATTATATGAATAAATCTTGATAGGATCTATAGGCAAGTGACTTGCATAGTAGAAATCCTGAGTTGGTGAAGTAGTATAGCCTTCAATAGTTATATCAGCTAACACTTGATTCAGAAAGGAAACTATCATCAAAAGATGTAGATCGAGTTGGGTGTATATAAATCTGTTCTACAGAGAGGATCAGTAATACTAATCTGGCTTAGTGACTAATTAGATTAGGAGAATTTGTCTCATAAAACATCTGAGAATATAGAATACAGAAAACTAGTAGAGAGCTATAGTAGGAACTAGAGTTGTATGAATATCTACAAGAGTCTAAGCTAGGTGAATTCGTAAAATGAGTATGAACTACTCTAGTAAGTATGCTTCGAGATTAACTAGCTCTGCGATATTTACAATATGTTTAATATAATATATTCTGAAAGGACTTAAGCTATTCTAGATAAATGGATTCATAATGAGCTAGCTAGCTTAAGTAGTTAGGTGTTGTAGTAATGTTAGATTAGATCTGTATGGTTTAATAAATAGAGTGTTTAAATAGATAACTTATAGGTGAGTTACAGGTATAGCAGCATAGTGTAGAACTAATCAGGTAGTCTAATCGTCTATACAGCAGACTACTTAAATTAGATAATGACTAAAGTTGTATATGTGACTTGTTGTATACTCTTCATATAATTACAAATAGTAGGGACTATCAATGTATATCTCGTATGCATTTCTAATAAAATTTCTTCAGCAATGTAAGCTGCCTTAATAACAAAAAAAAAAAAATCTAGATTGTCAAGGTCTGGTGATCTTAGTATAGTAGTTAGGTGCTAGACTACTATGCAAGAGGTCTGAGGTTCAAATCTTACTGTTGACAAATTTGAATAATTATCCAGACCTTTGTACTTAACTTACAGTAAATTTTGTTCATTTTTGAAGTTGTAACTCTGTAAATCACGTTGCACTAATATCATCTAGATATTAGAAGTATAACAAAGCATTTGGCTAGATATAATATTACATGAATAAATCTTGATAAGATCTTTGAGCAGGGGACCTTCATAGTAAAAATTCCAAGTTGGTGAAGTAGTATGGCCTTCGACAGTTACACTAGCTAATGCTTAATTCAGAAAGGAAGCTATTATCAAAAGATACAAATTGAGTTGAGTGTGCATAAATCTGGTCTATAGGAAGAATTGGTAACACCAACCTAGCTTGGTGGCTAACTAGATTAGGAGAATTTGCTTTGTAAAATATCTGAGATTATAGAATACAGAAAACTAGTAAAGAGCTATGGTAAGAACTAGAGTTGTATGAACATCTACAAAAGTCTAAGCTAGAGGAATCTATAAAATAGGTACAGACTACTCTAGTAGGTATGCTTTGAGATTAACTAGCTCTGTGATACCTACAATACATTAGATACAATATATCCCAAAAGGATCTAAACTATTCTGAATAAATAAATCTATAATGAGCTAGCTGGCTTAAATGATTAGATGTTGTAGTAATGTTAGGTTGGATCTGTATGGGTTAATGAACAAAGTGTTTAAATAGGTAATTTACAGATGAGTTACAAGTATAGTAGCATAGTGTAGAACTAATCAGGTGGTCTAATCATCTGAGTGGTATACTACTTAAATTAGACAATAACTAAAGTTGTATATATGGCTTGTTGTATTCTCTTCATATAATTACAAACAGTAGGGACTATCAATATATATTCCATATGCAATTCTAATAAAATTCCTTTAGCAATGTAAGCTACCTTAATAACAAAAAAAAAAAAAAATCTAAATTGTCTAATTAATGTTTATTTTTTAAAATCTGTTAAATCAAGAGGAAATTTATCTGTTTCTAAATATTCTAAAAGATTTTAATAGTAGTCTAAATTCATTTCTTTAGAGTTATAAGGGGATGTATTTGAGTCTTTAATCTAGAAAGTGTATCAATATTTGAATATTTTCATCCTAGTTTGTAAATTACAGTAAAGTGATAAAGTTGTAATTTTATTATCTATCAGTCTAGTCATCCTTTAGGCTAAGAAAATTTTAACTATTAGAGGACTAAATAGTTAGTGACTAAAGTAAAATGATTTGTTCTAAAATACTTATAAAAATATTCTATTGTTTATACTATGGTAGCATATTCTAATTCTGTTGCTTCATAATTAACTTCTTCTTTCTTGAGATTTTTACTTGCATAGGCAATAGGATGTTCTTTTCTATTATCTGCAACTTGACTTAAAGTTGTTTCAAATTTATTATTAGAAGTATCAGTTGAGAAGATAAATTCTAATTTATAATTTGAATAGATTAGAATAAAGGCTGTAACTAATCTCTATTTTAATTCATTAAAAGCTTCTTGTCATTATTGATTCTATTCATATTTAGTATCTAAGTGTAATAGCTAATTTAGAAGTTGGGCTATAGAAGAAAATCTTTATATGAATCTTCTGTAATATTCAGCAAGTCTTAGAAATAATTAGAATTAGTCATATTAGTAGGAGAGAGGATATTTTGTATAGCTATAATCTTTTTTAGATCTGATAAGATTAGTAGGCAACAATATATATATATTGCTGCCTACTTATATTAGACTGTTACCTACTTATGAGAGTGATGAATAATTTGCACTTACATCATCATTCAAATAATGAATGATTCATACTTGCATCATCATTTGAGTAATAAACAATTCGCACTTGCTTCATTATTTGAGTGATGAATGATTTATGCTTGCATCATCATTTGAGTGACAAATGATTCACGCTTGTATCTTTATTCAAGTGACGATTAGTTCACAAGTTCATCATCATTCAAGTAACAATTAATTCACATTTGCATCGTCATACTTAGGTATCTCACAACCTATAAAAATTATGATGATAATTTTATGTTCACATCAGCATATTTAGATATCTCATGATCTATAAAAAATATGCTAATGATACATTCAGTTGCGTAAAGCATAATTTTTTATAATATATATCTGTAATAATTTTACTTTGAATAGACACTGATTTTTCTTTGCTAACAATGCATTCAGTTATGTGTTATCATTTGCAGGTCCAGTATGAGAGCTATATCTGCACATAGTGCTAAATTGTTATTATTTATTTTGTGTTTACCTAAAGCATAATTTTTTATAATATATATCTGTAATAATGTTACCTTGAGTGGACACCGATTTTTATTTGAATTATGTGACTTTGAGCAATAAAATTGCAAGAAGGTGAAATCCCTGAAATTTTTTGTGACCAATACTTATCGATAAATTGTTATTGTTTATTTTGTATCCACCCAAAGCATAATTTTTATAAGGCTTTGCCCATGCTTTGCATAATATACAGTATATCTGTGATAATTTTATCTTGAGTAGACACTGTTTTTTTTTTGAATTATGTAATCAAAATAGTATATGTTATATCTAATCACCCTTTCTCTAATAATTTTATCTTGACTAGATACTAATTTTCTTTGAATTATACCTTAACTAAAGACCGATTTTTTTTCGAATTATATATACATTTTGTGTTTATTGAAAGTATAACTATTCTTTCTATAAAATTATACCTTAACTAAATACTAAATTTTTTTCGAATTATATATATGTTTTGTGTTTATCCAAAGTGCACTTTATAAGATTAGTAATTATATCTTGACTAGACAATGATTTTATCTATGCAATCTTATATTCTGAATTTGGCCCATTATCAAAAATTTTGCAATACAAAAATGGTTATTAATTGAATTTACTTACTCTATATATGAACTGCATTTTAATTAAAATTACACAACACAAAAATGATCATAATTACTTACCTAATTTTCAATTTAGATTTTTTCCAGCACTTATTGTAAGAAGTGACAAAAATGGTCTTACCTAAGGTGAATAGTTAGTTAGTTAAATATAGTAATATACCTTCTGCCAAAGGTATACTACTTAATTAGATTGTACAATAATTACACATATTTAATAAGGGCTAAAGATTTATTTTTTAATTCTTTTTTGTGCAGAGTAGTAGGTATGCCTATTTTAGTTTCAAAATTTCGCTTATATTCTAAGAAGTTAGCCTCAATTATATTCTCATACTCTTTTTTCTAATAATTTTGGTTATCTCGCATTTTAAAAGCAATCTCAAATCTCCATTGTTCTAACTTTTCTTGAGATATTTGAAATTTTTGTTGTAGATAGAAGATAAGCATATCTACATCAGATTCTCTTTTAATGAGAAACTCTGAAGATAAAGAAATTAAAAAATCAGATTTTTCTTTCTCATATGCATTGGCTTCAAAAGTAGTAATATCAACATAGCATATATCTTGAAAAGAATTCTTTTTATGTTCTGCATCATATTGAGCTGGCATTTCTAAGAATAAATCTTTTTCATCAATCTTATTATTAGATAAGTCAGAAACTTTATACTTTGTACATTCTGAAGTAATATTATTAGTAATAGATATAGAATCGAAAAGATCCTGAGTTTCATCAATCGATTCTGGTTTATATAATAGAAGAATTGGACCTATAGAGAAATATTTAGAATTATTCACCTTTATAGCTATTAGTTCTTCTTGAGTTACAAAACTATCTCTACTATATAGTTTGCGATAAATCTAATAAGTTTTCTTTTATACCCTATTAGTTCTTGAACCTATATAGGCTGCACTACTTCTGATAGTATAACCACACCAATTACTCAATATTGCATTAATAAATTTTATTATAGCATTAAGATCTGGCTTTCCTTTAGCTCTGGTTTTAAAGCCAAAGAGTAATAATGCATTTTCTCGAATTTTAACGATTTTTTTCTGTGATTGCTCAAAAGTCTTAGCTATATCATCATCAGAAAGAATATTTGTATTATCTATATCTTTAAAGCCTATCGATTGGACAAGATTATGTACTGCTTCTCACTACTTTGCTAAATAAAATTTATGCAAATCAACTGAGGATAGATCTATAGATTCACGTGAATCTTTTTATTATATTTTTTCTTTGATTTTTAGATTTTCTATAGAATTTATTGCATTAAAACCTTGTCTTCTGAAATATGCTAGCCTTCTAAAATGCTGTAAAGGTTCAGGATTATTATATCTTTTTATGAAATCTATATCACAAAGCTTAACCTAATCATCATTATTTATGCTCCAGTCTCGAATATCATCTTTGCCACCAATATCATCTGAAGCATATATTCTCCATAAATAATAATATTATAAAGTCATATTATTAGTAAAAGAGCATATAGGATTTTGCTTAAAAATTTCAGCTTTATTGGGACTAATATCTGGAGTATTAGCTATTGATTCTGCATCTGCACCTTTAATTTTTTTCTCAGTATTTTTAATTGTATGAGAAATTTTATTCCTGTTGATTTTTTCAGTATCTTCTACTAAAATTAATTCAAATATTGCTTCAGTACTAGCAATAAAACTACAAAGAATTTCAGGAAAGTATTTAGCTAATAAGTATTTCTGATATTCAACTTTGATATAGGTTTCCACTGCTGGAGATAAATTAAGTATATAACAGTTAGCAATTTTATCCTATGCACACTAGCTTTTTATTATTGTTAGTAAGTCTCCAGATCTTAATACTGAAAGTTTAGCCCGAATGAGTTCCTGACATGGTTCTTTAAAAATATCGAATTTTTTGCTATGATAAAGAGAAACTATATGTAATGAGCAGTCACAGATTCTGAACAACATCTGAGCAAATGCTTCAACATAAACAGAAGTAGTGATATTAGTAATTTCTATAACTGTATTAAAATAATCAGATATTTCAAAGGAGATACCAGCTTCTACAGTGCTTGTATAAATTACACAGTCAAGAGCACTTCAGATAGCATCAATATTAGTAAAATCATCTTGGTATTGTTTTCTATCTATTTGACCAAAATAAACTCAAGATAAAATGAATGAACCATCAGGTTTTCACAACTTAGATATTTGATCAGCTATAGCTCAGACTTTTTTACAGCTAGTTATAACAAATACAATATGTTTATCTTCTTGAAGTATCTTAAAACCTCTATGTATACCTTCTGAACCTTTATTCGGATCGTAAAGAAATTTAACAATCTCCCTTTTACGTAGTTAATATTTGTTGTCAATAACCTGAACATTCTCACCTCGATAGAATTTTAAGAAAGCTAAAGTTGAGTTATTTGCAAAAGCATCCATAGCAACAACATGAGTGGCTACATTTAACAAATCGTATATAGTATTAGCAGATTCTCGAGTATAAACTCTACTAGCCATTTGATACATAGTAGTATTTGATTTATCTAAAATTGCTATACAAGAACGGCCTCTTGAAAACTAAAATAAAAAATACTTTCAATCTGTACAATAATAAGGTCCTACTTATACATCTTTAAATTAGCTACAATATTCTGATATTGCCCTATTCTGAAATCGAATTTTTCTAATTCTTTAAGTTTAGCTTCAGATTTATTGCTAAAGGTTTTATGATATGAAACACATATAGTACAAAGTAAATTGGCACTACTTTGAGCTAAAGATGCCAAAATTTTTCTTAATATTTTTGTTTTTCTAGTACCCACAGCAGAACGAATACGAGTAGTACTAGACTCTTAACTTAAAAAATCTAAAAAGATATCTAAGGCATCCTCCATCTCTTTTACATTAATACATTCTCTAGGTAATTCAGGAAATTAATGTGAAGTTGTTAGAGCTTTGAGTAATCTTTCACATAATTTCTACTTCTTGGATTTTTCTTTTGACTCAACTTTGTTTGATACCTTATTAAAGCTAATGCTCTTATGCTCTGGCTTGTATTGTTTTTGGCGATAACACTTAAGTACAAAATGTCTATTTTTTCAAATAAATCTATAGAATTGATCCTTATCATGTTTAACATTACATATAGGACATTCTTTAACAGATTGTACTTAAAAGTTAATGAATCTCTTCTCGATTCTTCTAATCTGAAGCCACTCATATTCTGCAATAGCTAAATTAGCTCTTTTAACTAAAGCATTATCATCATCGATAGGTTTAAATTCCTCTTCTGCTAGCTTTTCTTCTGAAAAAGTTCATAGCCAGATTATAGAATAATTCTCTTTAGGCTAAACTAGATAATCATCAAAATTTTTAAATCCCTTGTTAATGAAAGAAATAGCAGGTCTTTTTATATACCCCTCTTTTGCTAATCCAAGAAGCTAAAGACTAAAACGTGACTTAGAAAGACTAATATCAATAAATTTTGAATAAGGTTCCCTAACTAATTTCATAATTTTTTCGTAAAACCTTTAAGTTCTCTATAATCTACAAATTAGATTCGAGGATAAATAATATACCAGCTATATTTCTTAGCATTTGATGAACTAGCTAAGGCAAAAGAATTTAAGAAAGATATACAATCAGGAATAAGGCTTAATATATCTGCACAAGTGACTAAAATTCAAGATATCAAATCTTCTTAGTTAATTTTTTCACTATCTAAAGAAGCATGTTTAGAATTATTTGAATCAGGTTTTTGTTTTGCATTAATATTAATAATTAAGCATAGAAGCTGGTTTCTATCAATACATTCGTGGGTATCAGGTATTCTATAAATTTCAGAGGGATGATTGATCACTGTATAACCTTTTTCTGCTATCCAAATTATATATTGAGAATAAATCTCTTCGAGTTGATATATATCTAAAAGTGCAGTATCATTTCTATTAGAAGAGCTAGTATAGCTATTAAATACAAGCTAGTATTTATAAAATATATTTTCTCTATAGCCAGATTTATAATCAAGATCTGTTAAACCCGTAAAAAGCCTTTTTGCTTCATTATATTCAGCTAACTTTTGATTTAAGCACTGTTGCAATAATGATTCATGAAGATATTTTTTTGTTTCACTAGACAAACTCATTTTATTAATTTGTATATATGTAGTTTGTATATGTAGTGTATAGTTATAAACTAAAAGTATTATACTTAACTCAAAAAACTTTAAAATGAAATTAATTATTCTATACAATTATTATTATAATAAATATGAGACTCTATTATTGCCCTTATATTCTTAGAATTGGCAAAGTTTGCAATCGAGGTTGCTATCATCCAAAAAGATGTAAACTTTATTGGAATTCACCAACTTGGATTCCTTGCAAAGAATACGATAAATTAATATATTCTACATATGGTATATGCTCGAATCATATGAGTAAATATCAAAAAAGAGAATATTATCATTAAAAAAAACAGACTAAATTACATGCAAAAATTGTTATACTTGAGAATCATATATCTGACTTATCTGATTCTATACATGAAATATAATCATATATCTCAATATCCTGGTTACTCTATAGGTATATATAAACTCTTTTTTTCTGGGTATAAGAGGAAAAAGTATAATTAATTTTGAATTGAAAAAAATAAGTAGGTTAATGTATAATCACAATCTACTTATCGATATATTATTTACATACCTATTATAACAACTGTTTAAAAAACTAAAAAACCCAAAACTAATAACTTTACCTCTATTTTGAATCAGATCCTAAAAAAATATAACCTATCAGCTGAATCAAACTCACTTTAATTATGTGCTCATGCCGATGAGTTTGGTACTATGCTACTAGATTAGAAGGCTCATAAAGATGTGAAAGAGGCTTTCTGTCAGCACTTGTTCAAAGAAAATCAAGTAGGAGCTCTGGTTCCAAACAACAAAAAGAAAAGGCTTACTATCAAGGAAAGAGCTTAATATTGTGCAAAAACTAAAGATGTGTGGGATATTTGATTACATGCTTTAGACTTAGCTATGCCAAAAAATAATATAGATGAAGCAATTGTGGTAGCAGTTCTCATATTTCACAATTTCGTAAAGAGTTAGCAGAAGTTGAGATTGGTTCTGAGCAAATTTATATATATGCCAAATTACCAGAAGTTACTTGAGCTTCTAACAAAATTCAAAAGAGACAACTCGAATAGCAATTACCCAATCTATCTAAAACTCCCAAACACTTTTCTTTAGAGGAAGAATTTAGAAGAATTCAAAATATCAATACTACTAAAATCCCTACTATGTAAGATCTTGCAGATGTAATTATGATGTTGAATATAATACCTGCTAAAGTTGTCACTCTTCATATTATCTATTATGAACCTAATGAATCAAATCCTCCTGAATGGTACAAGGCTAGTTATTCTTAGTATTATATCAGGTATATTAAAAATAAAAGAGAAGCAAAAAATAATCTCGAACTTTGGCAATTTCTATCCATAGAAAAGAATTCAGAACGTGTAAAAAAATTGCTTACCTGGATCCAAGATGCAATAGCAACTAGAAAGTTACACAATTCTGTCTATAGTATTAATAGAAAACGCAATATAGGAGTATTTAGTAAATTTTTAAAATCATATAGTATTACAGCTAAAAGATTAAGAAAATTGGAGGTAAACATGTTTCTAGAGTTCATGATAGTCAAAATCCAACTTTGCAATATCTCAAATTCTTTAGCAGAGTTGCAATGAGACATAAGATGAATCATCATAATTCTGGAATGTATTATGCTAAGACTGATACTTCTGTTTCTGACCTTGATACAGATCCAGAACCTGAACCTGAAGCTCTAGCTCTTATATCCAAGGTAATTAAAGAAAATACTTCTGAAATTAAAGATATCTATGACCTATATAGAAGTATTTAGATTAGTTCATAACTTATTTATTCATTCATTATAATTCAGCTTTATCACTTTGAACCTGCTTTACAATAATTTGACTTATTAGATATTTTTTAAGTAAAGTTATATATGCAAATCAACTCACTAACTACACTTACCTATAAGCTAAAAATCATTTGCAATTGCTATCAAAGATCTAGTAATGATCCTTTAGATCGAGACTTTGACTCTCCTAGCTCATACTAAATAATTCGTAAATAAACAGATCGCTAAATCTGAAATGAGATTTCATAAAATCTGCAAATTGGTTTGTTAATATGGAAATATATTATAAAACAGAATAAATAAATAATAAATTTCAAAGACTTATCTGGTTAAAGTTTAGGTAAATGTATTGATTTAGATATTATATTCGTTTATTTTTTAGCTATCAAATAATTCCGAGTAGTAAAAAAATAATATATTGTCAGGTAAGTATGAAATAATAAGAAAAATTTTCATTATTAACCAACTCATTGTAACCTATACTATGAGTAACGAACTATTTAGCAAAGGAAAACTTACCAAAAATACCTCAAATGAGTAGAATTATTAAAAGCTTTAGGAATAAATATCTTAAAAGGTCATCCAAACTCTTTAACAAGTAATATTACAATACCAGAGCTAGAAAATTGTTATGAATATAATGAAGAAATTTTGTTAAATTCATCCAAAGCATTTATTATGCTCGTGTGTGATTATATACTCTATCATGACTGTTTTAAAAAAGTAATAGAGATAAGCAAAAAACTTGTTCTATTTGTTTCGTAGATAATGAAGGAACAGCATCAGCTGAAATTCAGGATGTAGATATGTCAGAGGTAGTGGAAGATGAAGGTGAAGAAACCTCTAATCTAATAGGGGCAGTAAGTAAGTTATCCATAGATAGTGGTAAAGCTATCCTATGAAGTGAAACAAAATCCATGGAATCTGATAAAGTACAAGGTTTAATAAAAGAACTATCTATTCTAAGTAGCTGATTGATAATAACGATAAAGGAAATAAGAGCAAAGAATCAAAACCAATAACTTTACTCCAGTTATATTATAATGCAAACCGAGCAGAAAAATGTGTAACTCATGCCTACTAAGAAGAAATAAAATGCTAGTATCTGTTTGCTAAAAAATTTGAAGAAAGAGTTAAAGAAATAAATAATAATAATAGTAGATACAATGATCAACAAGCTAGAAGGTTAGTATATGATGAAGTTGCAATCAATCTTCTGGAATTTACAAGAAATAGTTTGTGTAAAAAAACTGCAAAGGCTAGAAATATCTACAAGTTGTTTGGAGAAAGTTATGACCCTGATACCAAAAAAATAGTTAAGGGGATAGGAATTGAAAAAATTGAGAGAATTCGAACATATAGTGCTGATTATATTTCAAAGCTCAATTCTACACAAATTTATAATATTATAAAGCATTTTAATTAGTGCAGATCGCGTCCCCCAAGTTGACGCCAACGTGATATAAATATTTTTTTATTAGTAAATCATATATACATATAATTACAGTATATAATTTAATTCATAATAAAGTTTATACATACTAATACTACAATATTGTTAAATATAGCGATAGGTATTCAATCAACATGTATAGATCTTGACCTAAGGTTTATGCATGTAAGGCAGAACAGGTTTGTATAATAAAAAAATTTTAGCTATGTTATATTTTTTCTGTTAATATATAACAATGAAAGGTCAGAATAGCATACTCATACATAAAGATAAACAAAATTATATCGAAAAGTGATATATCTTTAGAGAATAGAAGTGTGGGTATAAGGTTTGTGACGAATACAATCATTATTTATATCTGTATTGCAAAATATGTAAAAAAGTAGCGAATAGAATATATAAGCGATGTAAATGTGATAATTTTTTAAGGAAAGAAGTGCTAAATAAAAGCTTCACTATTTCATAATAGTTTCAAGTTCTTAACTCATCTATTATATCCTCGAATAATTAATCAGCACAGCTGATCCTCATATAAATAAAGTGGAGTTCTGGGTTACGCCCCTGTAATTGTCACGCTTTTTTTTACCTGTGTACTAATAAAAAAAATTTTTTTTAAAAAAAATCCCATCCACCCTCTCACCCCTGTAATATAAGAAGAGATTTTTTTATTAAATTTTTTTTTTATTTTTTTTTGTTTTCTGGGCGAAGTTTAGGGTGTGACAGCTTATTATATGACGAATAAGCATTTAATATGAATGTCATATAGCAAATGTTTATTTGTCACATGGATGATTGGTCACACCCTTATCGTAGATATTTATTTGTCAACCGAAGTTTTGGGTGTGACAAATTATTATATGACGAATAAGCATTTACTATGAATGTCATATAGTAAATGTTTATTTGTCACATAGACGATTGGTCACACCCTTACCTTATATTAAGAGGAATTTTCGGAAAAGGATAAAAATAAAATTCTGTAAGGTAATAGATCTGCAGAAATTAAAAAAATATAAATTACCTGTTATACAAATTAAATTAAATTTAATTTAATTTAATTACTAAATCGTACAATGTAGAAGTTGTACGAACGGATTTGCGTAATGTATCATGTAACGCAAATCGTTAAACCTTCGGAGAAAACCTTTTTAAAACTTAATAAAAATGGTTTTTTTTAAAAAATTAATTTTTTTACTTAAAACTTTTAAATTTTTTTTTTTATAAAAAACTTTTTAAAAACATAAAATTTAATAATAAAACCTTTTAACTATTTTATTTAGTAATTAT